AGGTACAGCCACGGCACAATTGGAGTGCACCCAATCAACTATAAACCTAGCTTAATCCGTCTTTACCGTCACTGTTATTGGTGCATCAATAACCATATTTAAAAACAAACAAGTGACACTTAGCCTGATGTGGGGCAAGTAAAGCCTGGTGGCCCACCAGGCTTATAATAAACAGCCTCAGCAGCCTCAGAGCTGGGAACATAAAAACACTCAACAGCCTGATAAAAAAGGCTGGTTCTGGTCTGCTTCAGATTTAGTTCTGATTCTGGACTGTGGAACCTCTGGAGAAGGATTCTTCTTCTGAAATTATGGACAATCCTGAGCATCCTCTTCATGAGGCTGACAGCAGAGTGCCTGTTAGAGGCTTCTTCAGTCCTGCTTGAATTAACATTACAGCAACATTTCATTTCCCATTTGAGATTAAGGAGTATCTTTAATTTGTGTTAAAATAGAAATGGAGTATTACAATGTTTTCAGATAAGTGTTTCTATAATTAGTTATTCCCATAATTCATATAAATACTTAACTGCTATGAAAGAAACCGGTTTTAATGTGGTGTAAAACTGGATTGTTAAAGGGCATGAAATGATTCTTCATTTTTGACTGAAAGTTGAATATTTGACCCCTTCTGAAAGGTAACTTTTAACTCTGTTAAATGAGTGAATCAATTAATTTATTGTCACTATAAGCAATGGCCTATGTACTGAAGTGTGACATGGTGGTGTGTGGTTTTGTCCTAGAGGTTATAATTAAATCATTTGTGAACATTGTAAAGTTGAGATTACTTATAAAGTAAAACCCTAGAGATGACAGAGAGATACCTTCTTTTCCCATGACTGAATGCATAAGTTAGTTTGTAAGTTGTGTGTATTGCGGTTATTTTGAGCTGGTCTACTTTTAGCTTTCAGCTGGGATCAGGCTGTCAGCACAGGGCCCAGTAGGCCAAGCTGTTTAATTACAGCCTCCTCTCACACAGACCCTGCCCCTTCTCCCAAAACATGGAGTCACTAATGGCTCTTATCCACTAGCAGCTTCTCAGCACGGCTCTGGGCGCTTGTGAGGGTTTTCCACTAGTGACAGTTGGTGGTACAGTGGATCCTATTCACAGCTGAATATTTTCAGATTTTTCTGTGGAACGCAACTACAATTTATTCACTGATTTTTTTGCAACTAAAACATTCATAAGAAAACGCAGCTTGAGAAGCTGAAATACTCTTGGCACAATGCTGTTTGACACGTTGACTGGAGTCTGCAAGCAACCTGCTCACTGCAGGAGCACCAAGCGTTCTGCAGTCACATCCATGGACTTCCAGAATCGTGGAATCGGCTGAGACCACGTTTATGAGGAAAGAGCACAAGACCAGAGACGCCACAGATTCATCTGTGGAATAAAGTAAACAAAGTTTTGATGTCACTGAGTAACGTCAGATGGACGTGTGTCTGCAACAAAACATTTATGTTTGGATATGAAAAACTTTATTTTAGTGATTCCCAATTTAAACAATCCCTAGAAATGACAGAAAATGCCATAAATCCTGAAGTTTCCACTTTGAAAGATTTCCCAATTTCATCAACTTGGCTTCCAAATGAAGGTTCCTGGAAAAGTTCTGCCACTTCGCAAGCTGACCCGATGCACACATGTCCTGTTGAATGCTGTTCTTTGCTTTTCTCCAGTGGCCATCTTCATTAACGATGTAAATGGAAGCGATGTGAGCTCCTGCTATGAAGCATTAGATGCTGCTTTAAAAGTACTCTCAATTTGCCAGAAGTCTCCCAGCCATTAAATCCAGCTGTTCCAATCATATCTATGGCCACATTTGCTTGCAGCAGTCTGCTCAGCACACAAACCAGGAGCTGCCATGAAAGGAAGCCACATGTGCAGCAAGTCCAGCCATTACATGTCCTCACGTCTAAATTATCCACAGTCAGCTGTTAGTGGTATTAAAACACAGAAGGAGTGAGTGGGAACAACAACTCAGCCATCAGGTGGTGGGCCATGGATGAGGCACACAATCCTCTGGAACTAACGTCCAAAATCTCCACAACAGCTGAAACACTGAGTTCCTTTAAATCATGGCTAAAAGCCCATCTGCTTAGAGCTGCCTTTGATTAGCAGTAAACAAAACATTAATCAACATATTTGACAAAATCCAATGTTTATTACTCGTTTCATAATTAGTGACTGTATTGTGTTTTAGGATGTAAAGAACTTTGCGCTGCGTCGTCGCTGAAATGTTCTGTACAAATAAACTGGAAACTTTCTGTACAGGCAGACACTGGACGTCTACACTTGATGTGGCCTTCAGATTAGCTCCAGAAGAGTGCATGGAGAGATTCATGACCCAACAGCTCAATCCAAGGATTACATCACTAAGTGCAATCCAGAACATCTGATGCAGCGGTCCACCCCATATCACCATGTCAGTGACAAATCACGCTTCTCTGTCTGCCAATCCAAGGAGCTGGTCTGGGTTTGGTAGGAGAACAGGACTTGCCTGACTATAAGTAAAGTTTGGCTCAGCCATCAGGTTGGGGGTATGTAACTTGTATAAAAATGTTTTTTATTTAGATATTTGAAACTGTAACTATGTCGTGACAGTATGGTATGAGACATTCTGTGGGGGAAAAAAATTATAAAAAGAATTGCACCCCTCCACCTTCTTTCAGTGCTAACTAGAAACAACTAATCAGAGACAGGGGGGCCATAGCGCTGTCAAACACTCAATGCATAGTGCTGCTCATCCCCTGTCCCCACTAGTCTGTAATCAGTTGGAATCAACTGTTCCAACTAGTGACTGCACCAACTAGTCAACCGATGGATTCTTTGCTCAAAGTGACTTTTTACGCGTCACGTCGACTAGTCACCATCATGTGACAAAACTGATTTTTCCAAGAAGATGAAAGATGAGAAACTTAGTCGGAATTTGTCAGATAATTTGAACTGTGCAAAAATATGAAGTCATTTATCAAAGGTCTTCAGCAAACTCTGGCAAAAACTACCGGAGCAATATGTGGCATCATGTCAGACTCTTTTTCAGCCACCCAGCTGATCAGCGTCCCCCTGCAGGCTCATCTTTTCGGTCCACAGTGACAGAAGGTCACTGCTTTGCTGCTGCCAAAGGAGTTCTTTTTATTCTGCATATTAGGCTTCTGTCTAATCGCTTCAGCTGTAATCAGTGTTTGCTGTGAATATAGCTAATAAAGCCTCTAAGTTGTGTGATGCCTTTTTTCTTGGTGCTATCACAGCGATTGGTTCACATCAACTTGACTTTTATCATGTTGATGTTGACTTAAAAAAAAATATAAACCCCTGATGTAACCCCTAGTTCCAACACGGCAGTGCAGCAAAGCACAATGCAAGATCTATGAAGAAACAGAGGAGTACATCTGATGTAGAGAAGCCTGGTTGTTCTACAGAGAGACCTGAACTCAACCCAACTGAACAGCACTGAGAATAAAGGAGATTATGACCCAGGCCTTCTCGCCCTACATCAGTGTCTGATCTCAAAAAAGGGATATGAATGAATAGAAAAACATTTTTTAATAAAAAAAACACTCATGGAACACCTTCCATGAAGAGTGTGAAAGAAATTTTCCCTTCAGAAGGACTGATAGTGTCAGTGGCAGGACAGATGCTCTCTACTGTCAGGTAATTTAATCACAAAACTATCAAAGTGTGGAAGTGTGTGATTTTCAACTGCTTCCATTCACCACCACTTTATTTCACACCACAAAGTGCAGCCTTGCTGTGATAGGAATGATCACAGAGACCTGGGAAAAAAACTAAGCGCTGACATCAAAGTGACAAAGGAGATCCCTGAAATGTGAGACACAAAAAACAGACTTCTAATATTAATGTTAACATTATGAAATGCTGCAAGGTGTAACCATAAACTACATGGTTTCAGAGTTAGGCTGCGACTGTCACCACTCAGCTAGGATGAAACACAAATAAGATGGAGTATAATTTGACTGAAATCTTTCTAACAGGCTGCTGAATGATAACTGACACTTTGTTCTGTGGAAACATAACATTTTGACCTACTCTGATTTACATAGAAAAAGACCTAAACTTTTATTACAATAATTTGGGGGATTGTTAATGTGATAAAAGTGAGTAATAATTTTGTTGGCTATAAATGTATTCCTGCAGACGGCCTCATAAAAAACAAACACAGCTCCAACAAGAAAACCATTTTCAAATCAGCTACTTCACTACAACAGCAACATGAAGCAGTGTAGCTGCGATAACTGCATCCAATCCTGTTCTGAGTCATAAATGTTGCAGTTATTGATGATCTCATATAGTCAACAGAAGAAATAAAATATTCAAACAATAAAGGGAATGAATGATTCCCATCACAAGACTGTGTTTAGAGGTTTAAGACATCCTCCATCAGTTCATTGTTGTCACAGAATGAATCTCTCTCTTATGACCATTTTCCTCTGTAGCAGTAAGATGACCGTCTCTCCTTACCGTTTAGTCCTGGTAGCAGGTCCTTGATCTGATTACTCCAATAATCCCTGAAGCTATGAACTGAAAACTTCCTGACACCCGAAGCTGGCCTGGTTTAAGCTGGAGGTCTCCTATCAGCCCTAGAGATGTTTCAACATGACCACCACCGCCAGCTGTTCTGACTGACCAGACCAGATGAGCTGGGACCGGCATCGGGCCTCGTTCACCAGATCCAACCTTCAGCTTGTCTCAGCTCAATTAAAAAAGAGACAGGCAGCTTCACCAGGATAATAACACTTCACTGAGGCAATGCTACAGTTAGCTAGACTGATCCATGGTGGGTGTTGCTAATGCTTAGCTCCAGTCAAGCTGCTGGTGTTTTTTCTAGTTTGCCACCCCTCCAGCCGGCTTCACCCCTCCATGACGGGCTGAGCGCTTCTTAAACGTCCCCTCCTACGACCACCTCACCACAGGGAGAAAGAGGGGACCACTCGGAACTGAGCGGATAGCCTGAGTTTAGCCTGGAAGGAGCTACGACGCTAACCTGGAGTTCGGCCCTCTCCACTTCCCAGTGTGCCCTCTCGATCTCGAACCGGGCCCACTCGTGTTGGATGTAGTGCAGGATCCCGGGAATAGTGTATTGCTGATGTGGCCGGGGCAAGTCTTCGTTCTGCTGCGGGACCATGACTGCTCCGATAGGGGGACCGCCGCTGCTGCTGCTGCCCTGCTGGTGCTGCTGCGGTGAAGGTGGCTGTCGCGGGGCGGCCGCTCCTCCTCCTGCACCTCCTCCAGGGTGTTCGTCCATGTTTTAATGTTTTTGTTTGGAAGTAGGGTTTGTAAATTTGCTCGGGTTGCACGAAGAGTCCGCCGGGGACCTCCCGTGTGACTGCTGCGGTGTCACCGCGGCGGTGCGTGAGGCTGGCTGCCCCTCAGCGTTTCGGGGAGTCCGGCTTAATGGAAATGCTGTGTTTACGTGTAGCTCTAACCGGCCGCCATCTCTGTTCTCTGGAAGAACCCAGCGCGCTGCATGATGGTACATCCACCGGGATTCTCGTCTTCGTCTTTGACATTTTTCCTGGCTTTGGGCAGCCAGCGAATAGGTTCTACACTGCCCCTACCTGCTATGGAATGCACACCTGAACATGCTTCAATAAGAAACATCTTAATTTCTGTGAACATATTATTTTTGTTTTTACTCGAATGAATGCTAAAACTGGCAATTGATCTAATTTAATATTTACAAATATAAATTTCACCACCTTCATCTTTTTCCCAATTTTGATTATAGAAATATTTAGCACAGAAGTATTTATCCACTATTTCACATAATAGTGGATAAATACATACATGAATCCAAAAATGTTGTAAATACATATGAACGCTGTAATAAAAATATTTATTTCATGTAAAGTCCGCTTTTCTGTATCAAATTTATATATTGTATGGATCCCAATAGGAAATTAAATGCTGTTACTCATATTTTACAAATTTCTTCAGAGATTTTGTAGAGGCAGGAAGGATCTTCCATAGCTGTCTGTACTACAGTGAAGCTGAGGAAGCCTTTGACTGAAGATGCCATTGTCGTCTGATAAAGAGGATCCTCAAGGTATTTCTTAATATTCTTTGCTTAATGAAGAATCCTTCTTTGCACAATCATCTGCAGAGGTCCCACAGAACAGAACCAGAACAGAACCTGCCTTCTTTATCAGGTTACTTAGTTTTTTCAAGTCCCTAGGTCTGATGCTGCTATAGCAACAGATGACAGCAGAAGATTACACTTCAACAACGTAACACACAACCAGCACCTTCAGTCCAAGACTTCGACTTCTTCACAGTCGTTTCTGCAATGTGCTATATAAATAAACTTGATTGACAACACTGCCTTTCCATGGATTATCCTCAAAAATATGACACAATTTAAGCAAAAAATTAACTATTTTTCTTATATATTGTACTATCATTGTAAAAAAAAAAAAAAAATGGAGGGGGAAACAAATATACATGTCTTACCTTTTTGCGCTAATTCTCCAGCAGGAGCTTGCTCTCTCTCTCTAATTTTATTAAAAACATTTCCACCTAGTTACTGACTTTTTCCTTAACTCCAATCCACTAGGTGGCAGTACTGTATCTCTCAGCTGCATTGTCATTGTTTATGTTTGAGGAAGGAAAACTGGTGAACTGTCTTAGGATGAGGCTGGTCTGTGGAAGGTGACAGGATGATTAAGTTTGTGCTAATGGTGAACCAGCAGGGTCAGACCAGACTTTCCAAATACTATGAGCCAGTGGAGCTGAGTAAGAGAGCAGCGCTGGAAGCGGTGGCTGTCCGCTGCTGCCTGAGCCGCGGAAAGCATCAGGTAAACTACCTGGCTGGCTAGCTGCCTGCCTGACTGCTTGGCTGGCTGCCTGTTGAGGTCTGGAGAGTTTTCAGAAAGAATGCTGAAATTATCGACAGAAATATGTGGCGGTTATACAGCTGGAAATCTTGTAATGGCAGCCATTGAATACAAATGCAGCACAGTTGGCAGGTTTGTACGTCAACAATGCCGCCATGTTTGTGGGGGCAGATTTCTCAGAATGAATTCTGTTAATAGAATATAACTGTTTATATTTAAATACACAGTCTACGTCCTTCCAAGCATTTACATTAACTATTTATACTTAGGACAGGGGCTGTCCTAAGACCCTTCCACTCCCCTCCCATCCAGGGGCTTGCTTTCCAGAAGCAATTACGGTTTCTGGAAAGCAATTACGGCTTTCCAGAAGCCGTAATTTTGCCAGATTAGTCTTTTTAAGCTTAATATATCTGGTCTGATCTATGATAAAATATTTCGGTAACACTTTATTTGAAGGGAGTTGAATAAGACTGTCATGACACTGTCATAAACATGACATAACACCTGTCATAAACATGAATAAGTCTTCATGAATATTTATGACTGTTGTCATAAAGCGTCATTCGGTAAATTATGACACTTTTAATACAAAGTTGACATTATTCAAAATGTCTTTGTTATGACAACTTGACATTAACCAAGAAATCATTACTGTTTAAACTTTATCTTTAATAACATAAAGTTACCTCATTTTTAAAGTGAAATCAGTAATTATTTTATAACAAATTTATATCAGTAATGATTTCTTGGTTAACGTCAAGTTGTCGTAACAAAGACATTTTGAATAATGTCAACTTTGTATTAAAAGTGTCATACTTTACCAAATGACACTTTATGACAGCAGTCATAAATATTCATGAAGGCTTATTCATGTTCATGACAGGTGTTTATGACATGTTTATGACAGTGTCATGTCAGTCTTATTCACCCCCCTTCAAATAAAGTGTTAGCAATCACAGATGATGGGTGAATGTAAACATCTCGAGTCTTCTGTGCACAGGATGTGCTTACAGTATGTCTGCCTCTTTCCAGTGTTCGTTTGTGGAGTATAAAGACTTTAAGCTGGTTTACCGCCAGTATGCAGCGCTGTACGTTGTGGTGGGGGTGTCGGACAGCGAGGTAAGTCTTCAGAATCTGACAACAACGCTCAGATTGTTTTCCTGCTTCTCTAATTCGTGCTTCCTGGAATCCTCCCGTAGAATGAGTTGTCCATCTACGAGCTGATCCAGAACTTTGTGGAGGTTTTAGATAAATACTTCAGCCGTGTGGTGAGTTCATCAGTGCTGAAAATCTTCAGATGGCTGCAGGATATCTCTAACTGTCTGTTTTTATCTGTCCGCAGAGTGAACTGGATGTATCCTTTATGATGGCAGGTTCCCAGCTCTGAGCTCATTAGGTTCTATTTGTAGCTCCAGAATAATTTTGAAATTTAATATGTATGAACTGTGCTGTGAAAAAGTATTTTCCGCATTAGTCTTCTTCTGCTTTTGCCTTTTTTGTTGCATTAAAATATTTCCTATCATCCAACCAATTTTACTATCCAGCAAACATAAAAATCTAGTTTTCAAAGATGATTTTATTCACTAAAGCTGCAGTATTATTGGAGCAAATAATTTTTTTTTTTTACATATTTATTGAAGCTCTCATTTGCCTTAACAAATGAGAGCTTCTGAGACAGTCTGTCTCTCTGTGAGACAGTCTGTCTCTCTGTGAGACAGACTGTCTCACAGAGAGACAGACTGTAAAAATGGAGCTTGGCTACGTTTCAGTTACGCCATCTTGTCTGCTGCCTGCTGGTTTCTCCTTGACCTTGAAATGTGGTCAGATCATGTTTAATTTGGACTCTGTTCACATCATCCTGGACGAGATGATCCAGAACGGCCACATCGTGGAAACGAACAAGAGCCGCATCCTTGCTCCACTCACCGCCATCGACAAAATGGCGGATGGGTGAACGAAGCAGGAAATGATGTCACAGACTATTGGAGCACTCTGGGAAATATTGGACTGGTGTTTGTTAGGGGTGTGCTGGTAAATCGGTCTTGGTTTCCTTAATATTGGGTGATCAACCGAAACTCACATGTGAAACTGATCTTATCTTCCACTGCAAAGGTCTGAAGCTACCCTGACAGACCGCCCACCGGGTCACCTGGTCACATCTGCATCTGTGCAGTTGACAACAGTCACTCCATTGTTGCCAACTTAGCAACTTTGCCGCCATATTTAACAAAATTCAGAATTGGCAGGTCAGGCATTTTGAAGATCAGCGATTGGCCAGAAAACTGCAATTGGTGCACCCCTAGTGTTTGTAGAGCAAACTGCTGCCAAGTCTCCATGAGGCGCTAATGTACCAGTGTGTGCATCTCACAGCAACACTTAACAGTACAGAATACTACTGACAGGTTGCAACTGTGTGTAATATGAAGTAATAATGTTTGTGGCTCAGACAGCTGATAATACATGGTGAAACCTCATTTTGTTATTTCTGTGTTTGAGCGTTTTTTTTTTGTGCACAATCACTCTCGATCAGGGGTGTCCTAGTCCAATCCCTGGGGGCTTGTTAAAGAAATGTTTCTGCTCCAACACATCTGTTCACCTCCCGATCTCTGCAGAGCTTCTAATTGTTCATTTGATCCCACTCAGCTCCTTCAGATTAGCCAGCAGCAATTAGCCAAAGTCTGGTGAAACTGCGGAGCTCATCAACTTTATGCTTTAACATCAGCTACAGCTAAAACAAAGTACCAAACATCAATACTGGATAAATAAGATAAAGCATTAAAAAATAGAGCTACCCCTCAGTGCAACATTGTTAAAAGGTCAATAGAGGAGCCATGCTGTGACGACTTCCTGAAGGCGGAGTTTCAGAAAGAGCAGGAGTTTTTAAAGAGACAGAGGCCCAATTTCAAGGAGTTAAATTACAAAGTCATATTTCTTTTAAGTGATTTATATTTAAACAGTTACTTGATTGTGCTTTATAATGGCACCATGTGCCTTGAAAATAAATACTGCCCCTTCCAGGCATTTTTGTGCCATTCACAGCTCTTCAGATCTACAGCAGAGCAACTTCTAAATTTTACCCGTCCCTGAAATGAACCTTGGGAATCTGGGAGATGGAGTCCTCACAGCTGCTTGAACAGTTTTCTATTTGATGCTGTTCCATAAAAATGTCACATCTGCGGAGAGCACCTGTGGATCTCTGCAGCTCCTCCAGAGTTATCATGAACCTCTTGGCTGCTTCTCTAATTAGTCATTTTACTGCTTGGTGGGCGGAGCTTGATCTCACCTGTTGAATTCAATAGTTACTAAATCAAAAAGCCATTTATGGGATTTTCTGTTTCTAAGACGCTAAAAAAAAAATTCTACAAACCACACAACTAAATCTTTACTTCATACTTTGCAAACAATTTATTGATTATCTTTTGGAGCATACACATTTGAAAATATTTGTTTACCTGAAACTGCAACTTCAGTACTTCAGTTAAATAAATGTTTACAATATACAAAGAAAATACAGGGAGCAGAGTTTTTTTTAGATGTGCATCAAACACAATCAGTGTTTTTTTTTCTCTTTAGCTTAATCAGAGAGGAAACACCAAAAACTGAACTCTGACCTTTTCATCAGGTCTGAAACAAACCAAACTGATGCTCTCACACACACGCGCGCGCACACACACACGCACACACACACACACAAGCTGAAAGGAAAGGAAGAAAAACTAAAAAGATGAAAACGAGAAATGAGCCTGAACCTCTAATG